TTAAATATTTTTAAAAATTAATTTTAAATATTTATTATTTTAAAATTTATAATTATATATTTTTTTTAATTTTTTTAAAAAAATTTTTTTTTTTTTTTTTTTTTTTTTTTTTTTTTTTTTTTTTAAGAAATCCAAGATAAAATCAACAAAGTCAAAGAGGAAATGGATGAAGAACATGAGAAGGCAAGATTATTTTACGAATCTATCATTATTACAAGATGATTTGGATATTAATATTATCTGTATAATATAGGTCGGAAATAATCTTGGAATGGACAAGAAGTTGCATCTTGAAAAACAAAATACTCATGGTTATTGTTTCAGGATTACTCGAAATGTATTATGATCAGGATTTCTTTGCGAACTTTACCTTGTAACGTTGTGAATTTTAATTCATTGTTTTTCTTCACTTAATAATATAGGATGCATCTTGTATCAGTGGAAAAAAACAATATCTTGAACTTGCTACGCAGCGTAATGGCGTATTCTTTACAACTACTAAATTAAGACAACTGAGTACATCTTATTTTGATAGTTTAGATTTATATGAAAAGGAGCAAAGTTTATTAGTCAAAGAAGTCATTGATATAGCAGGTAACTAAGTTAAAATATTGGAACGTGTACAAGTAATAAGATAAAATTAGATTAATGTGTGTGTTTAAATTTTTTTATTTGATAGCATCTTATTGCCCTACATTGGAAACTTTGAATGGATTATTGGCTCACCTTGATGTCATAGTAAGGTATGTGCTAGCACCCGCAGACACAGAGATTTTTCATTATTGTTTTACATGCGTGTTTTGCCAACTATTGTAATAGTTATGCGCATGTTTCGGTTCACGCACCAATACCATACGTTCGTCCCAAAATGAATAATAAAGGTATTTATAAAATTAAATTACTATCTTTTTTCTTTTGAGAAATGTATTAATCTGACACATATTAATAGGTGAAGGAGATGTTGTATTGAAAAATTCCCGTCATCCTTGTTTAGAAGTGCAAGATGATGTTTCATTTATACCAAATGATGTTAGCTTAATACGAGGTAAGGATTTTATTATATGTTAATATATATCGTATTCTAACTTCCAATTGAATTATAGGTCAACATGAATTTTTAATCATTACGGGACCAAATATGGGAGGAAAATCAACTTATATCCGCCAAGTACGTGATGATGATGATGATGATGATAGTATGAAATTTATTTTGCTAATTTAATTTTTTATTTTGGATTGCGACGGTTTAGATTGGTGTTATTGCTTTGATGGCGCAAATTGGTTGTTTTGTACCCTGTACAGAAGCAAGTCTTTGTATATTTGATTGTGTTCTTGCAAGAGTTGGAGCTGGTGATAGTCAACTTAAGGGTGTCTCTACATTTATGGCGGAAATGTTGGAAACGGCAAACATTCTAAAGGTCAGTTATGATCTAATTCTTTATAGTCATTGAAAATAATTTTAATCTCGTCATTGATGCTACGTAGACTGCAACCCCCAATTCTTTGATAATTATCGATGAACTTGGAAGAGGAACTAGCACTTATGATGGATTTGGTTTAGCTTGGGCTATTTCGGAGTTTGTTTCATTTATAATTTTTTAACGAAAATTCAATTTAAACATCTTTTACGCAACCATTTATAAATCATTTATATTTTATTTCAAAGACATATTTCGACGCGTATTCGATGTTTTTGTATGTTTGCGACACATTTTCATGAATTAACAACATTGAGTGAAGAAGTTCCATATGTATGTAATTTACACGTCACGGCACATATTGGGTCAAACTCTTCGGGTGGAAGAGATATTACATTATTGTATAAAGTTAATGAAGGTTAGGAATTTATTGTAAATATATCTACACAGGTTTTTGAATGAAAAGAATAGGGATGTTTTACCATTTTTTCTTACTACATTAAGGTGTTTGTGATGAAAGTTTTGGTATTCATGTTGCGGAATTGGCAAATTTTCCTGATACTGTTGTTAAGGTATGAAAATAAATATTTTGTTTTTAATAATATATATATATATATCTCAACACTTTATTTCTATTAAATAACATAGCTTGCAAGGAGAAAAGAGAAGCAACTGGAAGAGGTTACAAAACGTAAGTTTTTCATAATATTAATTGATACGTCTACCTTATTAAATTTATTTATTTATTTATTTATTTATTATAAATAGATGAAGAAAAAGACGGTGAAGAAATTTTTCCTAAAGAAGTTATCGAGGTAATTATAATCATTCTTAAACAATTTTATTGAAAATTTCCTAAATATGTTTGTTGTTATTATAATTTTAGAAAGGAAGTACTATTATTGAAGAATTTTTAAAAGAAATAGCAAATACCCCTGATATTGATTCCATGGATTATAAATCAATATTGGAACGTATTTCTACGGTTAAAAACCAATATCAAGATAAAATCGAAAAAAATTCGTGGTGCCAGGAGGTTATCTCTAGATTTTGAACGTCAGTAGTTATATACCTAAATAATATTATTGGTGGTTCCAAAATATTATGTTCGACAAAACCTAATAGCCGCGCCTCTTCTCCCTTGGCTCGCGTTCAAAATAGCTATTAATCAATATATGTCGTTAGATACCTTTCTTATGAAATAAAAAAATTATGTTGAATTGTTATTTTACCGTTTTTTCTGGGTAATCTTTTTCCATAAAAATGATCCTCCTTAAATTCCGCAACTCCTTTGGCAATTGGAGTTGGCTTATCAAAGTTAGAGTCTTGTAAAGCAATAACGGAGAAAGGCCTTTTGAGACAAACAAAATATAATAAATGAATTATTTAAATAAACTACTCGGAAATATTTAAATATTAATAATTTACCCTGTTTGTTTCCTAGAATTTTCCTTTTTACTTTGTAGTTCGGTTTTTCTTATTTTTGACTTAACTTGCATATGTTCCTCTGGTTGTTTTCTAACGATAAGTAAATATTTAAGTTAAACTAGATAATCTTACAATTTTCTATAATAGTACATCTCGAACCTTTTTTTTTTCACTTTATCATCATTCGCGAAATCTTTTAATAACTCTGTGGGCAAGAATCTTGGTAAACCTTCTTCATTTATTTTTTTTATGATATTATCAATTTCTTCTTTAGATTCTTCAGTATCGGTTGATTTTACTAATTTAACCGTTTTACGAATTTTTTGTTCTTTTAATTTTGCATCAATCTCACGACGTTTTCGTTTCTTAATCTCCAATGACCTTAAATAATTATTTTTAGTAAATTAAAATTTTCAAAACAAAAGGATAGGATGTAGTAATAATGACACACTTTTGTTGCACTTGACGCTCTTTCTTTTTGATACTCAATGCTAGAATTTTGCTAGTTGACATAGAAATTGTCTCTGGGGCTTCATCATCGGAGTCAGTCGGTGAAGTAGTTTGTTCTATCACGTTACTTGTTTCAGAAGGTACACTTTCTTCCAATTTATCTTTCACTAGAATATCGTGTAAACCTGAATCTACCAGAGCTTCGCTTGTCTCTAAGTTAACTTGAATATTTTCTGCTATATTATCTACAAGTTCTCGCAATTCATTTTCATTCTTTTCTAAAGTTGCTGCTTCTTTTTTATCCTCGGTCGCATTAATTGGCTGACTTTCTTCAGCTATATTATTAATACTTTGATTTTGACTAATTGATTCGATGGAGTTTGATTTATCAATATCATTTGATGTTAATGTTTCAATTGATGAATCTTTTCCCAAAGTAACAATTTCATCGATTCCTTGAGTGATTTTACTATTTTCAGGAATCTGATTATCTTGATCAGCGGCAGATGAATGCTCAATATCATCTTTCGATTCTATAATATTTGAGCCTTTTGCAACTGATGATTTAAGTTTTGAATTTTTTGAGGAATTCACATTTTTCTTCGCCTTTGATTTTGAAGGTTTAACAGAAGGTGTTGAAAGTTGCTTCTCTGGTGTTGTATCGAATTGTATATTATTAATATCAAATTTCTTTTTACTTGAACGTAAACGAAATGCAATGGGCATGATTTTAACTGATACTAAAATAAATACAAATTATTTATTTGTGAAAATTTTTCTTTTCGATTTTTGAGAAAAAATTTTTTTTTGGAACTTGCAATTTTATTGGCCAGAATATATACACGTGATTAGGGATGTTAACGGTTCGATCAGTTCGGTTTCGGTTCGATTTTCGGTGGTAGACAGTCCAGGAGTGACCGTTCCATATAAGGACAAGGTTACACAATTCAACAAAATTTTTTTTTATACAGTTTACAGTACTTTTTCGAGGGATTGCGTAACCTTTCTCCATCATAAAACGTGACCAAATTTATTAAGCAAACTTGAAGCATTCATATCATACTATCATATATTTTTTTAATCCTCAGTAATCCCACAACTTTATTATTGCCATTTACCTACCAAAATTATGTCTGCGGCAAAGCAATATTCAGAATGCCAAACTACAAAGTCAACCAAATTTTGTTTTTTAAAGGGAGAAAAATGAAAAGAAGCTGAACGTAACGATTTAGTGAAGGTAATACAAATATTAATTTCTTTGGAGCCATCAAGGTGATGGCAAAAATCCTTTATGAGAGAGAATGTTCTAAGAAAGATGAATCCATATATTCATTCAATGAAATGCGAAGGAATTTTCAAGAAATCGAACTGAATTTGAAAGATTTTTTTGACCAGCTGTATTTAGCGGCTCGACCACTTGAACGTAACGAACAAACAATAGACCGTATGAAAAAATTAATGTTTTTATATGTTATCTACTCGCATCACTAAATAATACTAAAATTAATTCGTTTAAATTCGATCTAGGATTTTATTTAGATTCAATAGGTACAAGCAATAAAAGTCTGAATACTTTGGCTAATATTGACGTGTCTACAACGTCGAGATCGATAGATCGCAAAAAGAAAAGAATGTCTGATACGCATGGCGAATATGTAGAGAAGGCCCTTGCAAATCATTCAGAGAATTCGTTTGTTCTGAACATAGACGATTATCATAATATTCATGTTCAGAGATGATCTGATACTACTAGTACGTCTTGGGCAGCACATATGGCAACGATTATGGTGAATCTGTATCTAATACCTGCAATACTGTGAAATAGAGCAATTAATCCAAATATCGTTGATGCCGAATTGATCACTAGGCATCTTGAAGAACGATTCATAGTAAACCTAGGTATTTCATATCAAGATTGTATGCGGAATATTATAAGAGTAGATTACCCTAATGATAAGATTATTGTCAGATTGATGATTCACAGTTACAATGATAGACTAGTGAGAAAAAAGTGTAATCGGCATATACAAAAGGCTATTCTTATCAATTTTGTTGAAAATGACTTGAAAGGCATAGGCAGATATAATAATGCTCTCCAAATTGTATATGACCAAGAGCTGATGTAAGTGTACCTTTCTAATCATGCTATTCTTATTGTTACAGATTAACCTAAACAGTTCTACATTCGTAAGGTGATTGCGCAATGTCTTCTCGTTAACAACAAAACTATTTCTCATTTCATTGCATCATTTTTGCCCATAATAGGTTCTCTTCATGTGTCGCTAAATGGTTGTGAGCTCATTTTTCTACAGAACTTTTTTTTTCAACGACATCTACAAAAGCATATTTGGTTTGAATAAGGATATTGGAAAGAAACCGCAACTGTGAAGAATCGACTTAATTCTCTAAATCGTACGCATGGTGTAGTTTAAGATATCTGAAGTTGTCTATTCGAAATTCGGTCGTACAAGTAAGAATATTGAATTTCTATATTTAACAGATCTACTGAGTAATCTAGTTCTATTGGTCCTTGACGTCTATGCAATATACCATTGAGGAGGCGATTGGTCTGCTTATGAAGAAGTTTATATGCATTGCTGAAGCAATCTGTTTCTTCAGTTTGATAGGAGAAATTACAAATGTGCCTCCTTAATGTTTTTTTCTGATGTTTTTATTGGATAGAGATTAATCATCCAATTTTTAACATGATTACTAATAATCTTAATTCTCTAAGTAATTGTCTTGTCGAACTCATTCACAGCATTATACGTTGATGAACTGCTAAGTTTTCCACAGCTCAACAACTGCAAAAAGAAGCACATTTCATCTTTCAGCAGCAGGATGAAAATGCATTTAAGCAAAATTTTGTAAATATTATTAAATATCCATATACACTAAAGTAATTGAATACTCTTTCCCAGAAGTATGCTATACAACTTTTGAACATCTTTACGAAAATATACCAAACGCATCATATATATCCTTCAATTATTAAAACATCATTCAATAGTATTAATACATATAAATTGCCTTCTTTAGGTTATGAAGTTACCAATTATCACCTTCTGCGGGGTTTTGTTACTTTTAGGAAACCAAACACTACCATTATTTGCGATTATTTATATTGTAAATATATTACTGTTTGATTGATGTTATCGTTCTCGCATATGAACATGAATATCATAACCATTGTCTACAAAGATGTCAATTTAAATGTCTGATATGTTTAGAGTATCTTTAATATGAGGTCAAGAAAAATGTAGATGCTCTTATAATCAGTTTCACAAAAATATTGGATGAGCAAGAATCTGTTGAAGAAGATACTAGAAAAGATGCAGCCGAAGATGATTTGAATAATGTAGATGAGGTGAAGGATGAAGCGGAAAATTTATTAGAGCATACAAAAGAATTATTTTTAAAATTGTAAAATATTGTATTTATTATATTTTCTTATTTCATTATTACATTATATGATCAAATTTTAATTAGTTATTTACATCATGCATAATAAAATATAATTTTTATGTTTTAATTTCTTGATTAACTAATAATTTTAATATGATCAGCTTTAAAATCACATAATTTCATTTTAAAATCACGATTTCGATTGGTTGATTAATGTATCGTCTTATTACTAGATTTGGAATTTTATGTAACAGGGGACTGTCTCTCCTGGATCTAGACAGCATAGTAGAATTTCCTAAAAAGTCATGTAGTACAACAATCATTTTTTATATTGTGCTTATTGTAAAATCTATTGAAAAATTATTTCATATCAGATGGTTTTTTTTCTTTAAGTTTAACCATATAAAACTTTACATACATCGAAATATACCTTTCTTCGTTTAAATGACTTTGGTGATCCAATTTGATCAGTTTGTTTTTATAAGTAACTTACAGTAAGTACTATTCGTTACTAAGCTTATAACTATAAATTTGTATGTACATTTTATTTTTATTTTTCTACATTACTAATTACAAACATTTGCTAATTCTCTTTTCATGGCTAAATCTATCAATACTTCTTCATTCATTTCTTCTATTCCATCATTCTCTTCTTGTGTTTCTTCTTCTTCTTCCAACCCTCTATCCTCTTCAGTGAGTAAAATAGAATCTTTTTCCAACCTTTGTAAAAAGGATTTAACATTTGTTATAATACCTTTTTTATAATATTCTTCACAATATTTACAACAATATTCCAAGTATCTAAAGCATTCCCAATGATAATCATGTCCACAAATTAATACTTCTCCATCATATATAGGATTATTTGCAATAAATAGTTGGTTACATAGATCATAATTATTAGGTGAAGGAGAATGTGTTATGTTAAATCCAGTTGGCAAGCATTGGACATCAACAATAATAGCAAGAGTAATTAATTTATAAAGAGGATATCATTTCTGCATAGCAAGATAACTTTGATCTTGTGTAGTAAATACTTTTTGAAAATGAAGAAAAAGAAATACTATTGTTTTTTGGTAAGATAATCTAGAGTTGAAGGTGTATATGGAAATCTTTTTGTCTTAGAAAAGTTATCTTTAAGTATTTGTGTTTAATGTTATCTAAAAAAAAAAAGTTAATAATTTAATCTTTTTTAATTAATTAGATATACTTTCTTACACTATAATACGAGCTTAGGTGATAATACTTTCTACACTATCATGTGTGTTTGTATTTGCTCTGATTTTATTATACAGATATTTACAAAGTAATCATTAAAATTTACAAGGTATAGTTTTAATGCTTCTGCCATTGGGTGTTTATTATCTTTCCAATAAAAATAATCAGATAAAAATACTAATGGTACTTTATTATAATTTTTCTTCTCCAGTGCAATGCAAATGTTCAGAGATGAAAAATTGTTTCAATATATTCATCAAATGATCTAAAGCGAAATAACAAAGCATAAATATCAAGTCTTGCAGTGATAATATTATCCAGTAAGTCTATTAATGTTCTATATTCTATATCTTTACATGTATGCTTAAATTTTTGCATAATTATTTTTGATATATATTTCTATACATTACTTGTCAATTTTAATAGTAAATTTATTCTCTATGGTTTAGGTTTTTTTGGAAATACTTTTTTTGTACCAAATACAAAGTGAAAAAGATTTTAAAAGAAGTTATAATGTAACATAACTGTTTTTTCACGAAAATTCAAAAATATATGAAGTGGTCTAAGGATAGAGATAAAGCTATGTACTGTATATATAAAAGAATATAATTGCTATACGTATGAAAAGTTATTCAGGCTAATCTGCAATAACTGGTATAACATTTAATAATAAATATTTTTTTAATGATGGAATATTAGCAATTATCTGTATAGTTTTAAGATAATCTACAAGTGAATGTAAATTCATATTTTGAAATGAAATCATTTGAATTCCTTTCATAGATCTCTCCTCTTTTCTTTCTTGAATTGCATCATTATGGTAAGTTAATTAACATAGTCAAATTGGTTTGGATTTATTGTTTTTGTTTAACCCATTGATTTTTTCTAATATTATAGCTTATATCAAAAATTCTACTATAATGTGATTTTAAATACCAAGAAAGATTATCAGAATCAATATAATTATCTACTAATTTAGAAAGACATATCACGAAATGTTTATCATTAGTGGTAATTAAAGTAACAGATCGATGCATAGAGTGAATTGTATCATCACGAATTTAAATATAACAGAGTACTTCAAAAATTTACATTGTGTAGGT